ATGGTTTACCTGTATTTGTAGAGGATAAATGTCCATATTGCTAGCAAGGAATATAGAGACAGTTTTCCACTAACAGGAAAGGTGAGTCCCTGAAGAGACAGGCTGGAATTTTTCTTAGTCTCTAAAGACACTTTCCTCTCTCCCTTAACCACAGAATGACAGGCATTTCCCAGACTACTTCTGTGTATCCCTCTCCAATGAAAGTACAGGAAACCAAAAGGAAACAGCTACTAGGTCAGCCCTGAGGATGGCACAGGACTGGCAGCACCTACTCCCCTCTACATTTGCCTAACTCTTCACTGGTTAAGCCCACACAATCCTCTGCACATAAATTCCAGTGTTCAAGACTTAAAATCTAGATGCAATAAGCCCTAATTAAGATCCTAGGAACAGATTAGGTGGAACCATTAGTATTCACAAGAAATCCATTAGAAATTCATTAGGAATAGAGTTTATCTCCTCAAAGCCTATTGGTATATTAATGCAGTTCTTACTACTACTATAGCCACCAGTAATAACAAACATCACAGCTTATACAGTATCTGAAGGACACCTACGGCTAATATAAAATATCACATATATTTTGGATAATTTTTCAATCGGTAATTAACCTCCTGTCTGTCTGCCTCCTTTGGGCATTTGTTGTTGATGCTGGTTATCTTGCCACTGTAGCCAAAGTTGTTCTTCGAGGCATGATTCTTTGCCTTCCTCTCACGATTCATGTGGTTTGGTTTCCATTTGTTTTTTCCTGTGGGTGGAAAATTCAGCCATCAGCAACAACTTACACTTTTTTATTTAAGACACACAGCTCTGTTTTGTGGTAAGACCACTGTGTGTGTGCAAAAGTAGCTTTACTGTTATGCGCATGCTCCCATGATCCTAGAATATTTATTCAAGTCCCTCAGTAGTTTCTTTGCCACCTCAGGGTCCCTGCTTACCCTGTTTAAAGCTCCCAGAGGACTGTTTCTATGGCTGAGGAGCAGTAAGAGTATAAAGGTCTGTCCAGTTACAGTATAGTTATCTCGCTACCCTACCCAAGGCAGGCAGATGATCACAATGCTACTATATCCCCATTTGCCATCCTCTATATTACAGGAATCTTTCCAAAGGCTGTGAAGCCAGGTGTGAGATGTGTTTATGTCACTGGCCTGCAGTACAGTAGTCTTGCTGGAGCTGGCAGCCTGGCCTGGATTATGAGTGTATTCTGAGAGGCAGGCAATTCAGAAACTCAGGAGCCACTTCTCTGTGTGCTGGCCACAATTCCTGCTTCCCCTGCCAATATGCTTATGGTTTGGCATTTGTAGACACACCACAGCTGTCCAGTTGATAAACTGACACACTCTGGGTGGCCCTCATCTCCTGAGATTTTACAACTGCTGTTTGCTCCACCAGACATGAATTGAAGTCTTCCAAACTCTCCCACAGAGACTTTCCTGGTACTCTGGTGTCAAGTTCAGAACAAGAATCTGGAGCAGACATTTCATTCCTAATAGCACTTGTTTTCCTACACTGCTGCTCTCCTTGAGCTAACCGGTGCCTGTGATGACCCCACACTTTTATTCACTGATTTGGCTTGTTCAGCAGTAGTGAGGAGTATACAGTGTTCCTCCCACCCAGGAGCCCTCTACCCCTAAAGGAAAAAGGACTGTGTATGTTCTACAGTCAAATCCAGGATTACAGATCAAATGTGTTCCTGCACGTGCATATTTGTAAAATTATTGTATCAGTTTCTTGTGTTTCCTGAATGCTTGTCCAGGTGAAAGAAATAGATACCATCTACCTGTGTACAGTAAAACGCCATTGAAAAACTCAATGTGCCTAGCAGAGATCTGGAGAAATACAACTCCTGGGTTGTCTGCATTTAAGGTAAATTCTTCAGTAGTTTATCGTTATCTGTCTTGATCTTTCACGCAGTACTTGCTTTATTCACACATTATTCCTGGAATATATAACTGTTTCATCTAGTAGAAAAGGAGAATTTTTGTTTTAACAGCTTCTATACAAGTTGATGTTTCAAGCACAAGGAGCTGAAATAGTTTCATACTTTAGAGGCCACCATCAGAATCTTGTCAGCATTGTTCTTTTCTATCTCTCACATAATGAGATTCAGGTAACAGTGAAAATAGATTTATGGATAAATCTAATTGCGTGCCAAGTTGACACCACAGTAGAGCAACTGTTGGATTGCCGACAGAAGGAGAGGTATTCATTTCCGTTTGCTTCTGCAGTAGATTCATTGAAATGTGTTAGCTCAGCTGTGTGCATATATGCTGATGTAATCAAGCCAGGTGCATGCACAGGATTTTCTAATAGGAGGTGGAGATGAGTCTGGATCATGTATAGAGGAGATGGAGAGCTGTGCAGGATGTTTAAAGGTCACGAGGATGCTTAATATTTTGTACCAGACACATGAGGAGGGAAAATAGCATACGAGGGCACAGAGTCATCAATGCATTGAATGGCAAGAGGGGTATGGGTTAGACATTTAAAGGCATGGAGTTCCAGATCATGTTTGGTGCAAGGGATAGGAGAGGGAACACTCAGCCCCCTTGTGAGTTTAGGTAGGAAAGGCTAGAGGGACTCATTCTACTTAAAGATAGGGAATAGAGTAAGGATTAGCTAGGGAACATTTTACTGTGCTACTTGGACCTGACCAGACTTTTTAGTAGGCAAATGTGTTTACTGGGTCATGTTGCTTCCAGCAGAACAGACCCAGAAAGAGCTCTTGTAAAATGTATAATTTTTAATTTATTTTTTTGTCATACAAATACTGTATTCAGTCTGCTGTTTTTCAAGGGAATGTGGTTTCCCTTTGCCTTCAAAGCAAAGAGAGACAGACAGAACAAGGGTGTACAAGAGGACATGCAGATAAACAAGGCTGAGTTTGTAGAGAAATCTTTCCAGCTTGATTCTTGCCACCGGAGACTTGTATACAGTTAAACTTCCTCGATATCCTCTTAGATTGTATAAATGAAAAAGGCATTACGTAAAGTGCCAGCATTTTTCTCTTTTTCACTTTAAGAACCACCCTTGTGTGACTGTTGTAAAGAATTTAGTAGGGTTGGCTCTAATAAGTTTCTGCAGATAGTACTCTTAAAATACAGACAAGGAGGAAATGATGATCTTTTGTCTGTTTTTGTTTTTAAACAATTATCGAATTCTACAAAAGGGATAAAACTCTTTTTAAAAGCTTTAAGGGGTACTGTGGAAAATCTTTCAGTTTTCATTACATTCTATTAAGCTTTCAGTATAGAGGAGATGCTGTCAGATATTTTCAGTGGAAGCGGGTATGTGTTTTTAGGTCTTGCCAAAATCTAGTTGGATTATGTGCTTAATCCCCAACCTTCCTATGATCTGATAACTACAGACTGCTTCACTTTTGCATTCTTAATAACAGACCACTACTTTGACAGAGACTGTGACTCCATCCCTCAAAGAAATATAATTTTGCCGTGTGGCCCTGGGAAGCCTGTTTGTCTGAGTACATGCCCATTGACAGAAGAGTTGAATGAGTCATGTGCCTTCAGGCTGGTCATAAAATACACCACTTTTCCTCTGCCATCACAAATGTCCTTCGACCACCTCAAGCAATAATTCCATACATTCACTTTTACTTCTAGATCACAACTTCAGTCTCTTGATATTGTCAGGTCCTGAACGGCTTCAGTTAGGGATCCCAATGGAAGTGGTATGTAGGAAAGAAGAAATATAATTTTTCTGAGTTTAGTAAGTTTTGTGACCCATGAATATTTGCAAGAAATACAAATCTAGTCAATTAACTTCCATCTGAGATGGAGGTCAAAGATCATGTTCTCCCAAAGAAGCAAATTTTGACATACCGTGTAATGGACATGTATTTATTTATTTATTTATTTATTTATTTATTTTAATCTAGAGGCCACCACTCTAGTACTCGTCACTGATCTCCATGGAAGATGTGCATGGCCTCCTACAGTGGACCTCTGTTAGCAAGTCACATATGCAAGCCCTGTCTCTTACCTGCTCTACATCAGCTCTCTCTTGTTCTCCCATGGGATTACTCAAAATCAACTGAATTATGCAACAAAAACTGACCAACGTTTCTATTGGAAAATCCAATTATTATGCAGGCCTTTGCATAATAATTCCAGGACTAGCTTTTCCCTCCATCTTCCAAGAAATTCAATAGCTAAAGATTATTACACTTCTACACTCCGTAGACACTGACTTTTCCAGATCAGTGACCATTCCCTTGAAAGTTTTCATCTGCTACTGAATGTTTACAGTGACTTTGGAAACAGTTTATTCTATTGCTTTTTACCTATACCAATCTGGTATTACCAACGTTGCTCTCAAGATCAAATTTATAGCAGCATTTATCTTCATGAGTATCACCGATAACCTCTTAAGCAAATGTCTTCATAAATGACAATCTTTGTCACAGTTACTTGGAGGAGAGCAGTACCATAGACACATGCATACACACTCTGCAGCTGGGAAAAAAAAAAAAAAAAAAAAAAAAAGAAGCTCTTCTCAGCACTCTTCTTCATGTATTTTTTTGTAGCCAAAAACTAGAGTGGGAAAGGAAAAGATAACATCTGAGTTGGGATGACCAAAGTACATAGAGAGAACAATTTAGTCTCTTAAAACAATACAAGAAGTTAGATTCCAGTAGTAATTCAAGTGAAGGCAGGGGGTTGAGCCACATCCAAATATCTATGCAGTCCCAGTGACCCAAGCTATCACATGTGATATACCTCACTTCTTTATTTTCTTGTTTATTCTGAATGACTACAAGGGCACTTGATGTGATAAAACACGGACAATGTCCTGAGTTCAGCTGGAGAGAGTCAGGATATTATCTTTCTGGAGCTTCTCCCTGCAGTAATGATGATACCCGTTTTGGGGTTAATTTTCTGTTGAATAAGCACGTCAGGTTTTAAGGCACTGGTCCAGACTGTAAACAAGTCAGTCTCTTTGGAGCCTGCTTTGGCAGCTCTGCTGAGGTTACTATTTGTATTAAAATATTTGCTAACCTATTCTTCATAAAGCCAGGTATGTTTCTGTGAAATGGAGAGGCAATGTTGACATTTGTCCTCCTGCCAGCAGCAGCAATCAGGTTGCCTTGTTATCTCAGCTAACCCTCCCCCATGCTGATGTACTAAATAAGGGACTGTCGAAGCTCTGTCCCAAGGCATTTCAGCTCCATGGTCACAGCTCTGAGTATCTGTGCAAAAGGCAGGAGCAGCTTGGTCCCATCCCTCCAGTGGGACCTTAGTGCAGAGAGAAATCGGTGACAGAAAGCTCTCGAATGTAAGTTTTACATAAGGTAGAGGTTTTCATCTGTGGCTGACAAGCTATTTAAAGCACTAAGGAGGCCTCAAGACGGAGATAAGTGGTGCACATGGATACATGGACACTAGAATAATTTGGATGCATTTAAAATTTGGGATAGACAAGGAATTTGTCTCATCCCCAAGCTTTTTGGATCTGTGGCTACATTTTGGTTCTCTGCTTGTACAGAGATTTCTATAGCAAGACTGTAACCCAACTATAATAAATCATTGTAATAGCTCTGTTCATATTACAAAGTTGGGGAGTAGAAAGCAAACAATCTAAACAATGTAGGACCACCACAATTACTTCAATTGTTTTTATAGGTTACCCATAAAACTGTGGGCACTTTTCAGGCATAGAAAAAACATAGACTTGATTTAGATCTTATAGCCCAAGGCTCCAGCCCCTCGCACTTTCAAAATTCCCAATGATTGCAGTAATAGATCTAGGATAAAATGCAGGAAATCCAGAATTATTTATGCTCTTGGATTAAATGAGGTGTTTATAAGAAGAAAAAGGATTAGCTTCTGGGGGACAGAAGGTTGCTGTCTCTTCTGTATAGATGTGTAGTCTGAAGACATGGGAGGTTCTCCCATTTGCCATTGGGTAATTAGTGATATCTTTATTCTGCTTAGCTTTCCTGTTCTCCATGTCATTTCATTTGAAATACAGTCTGAGTTATGATGAAGAAATATTAAAAATAAGCAAGGTTTATTCTTAATAATAATTAAAAAATAAATAAATCAGACATGGACCCTATTGTCTGATTTTTAAATTATGGGAGAATTACACCCACAAGGCAGGTTACTTTTATGTTGAAATAGTTAAGATTTTCAGAGCACCTGGGGCTGGCCTCATCATGCTTCCACCAAAGTGAAAGGTTAAAGCTTCTACTCACTTCAGTAGGAACAAAAGCAGATAAATGATGAGTATGTTTGGGAGCAATCCCTGTCAAGCAATTACGATTCAGCATTCTGCTGGCCAGATTCTCAAGTGATTTATCAACTAATGAAAGCTGATATGAATTCATTTTACTCAGTGTAGCTGGATCAATTTATATCTGACCTTCTCTTCCGGGAATTCCTAATTACAATATTGATGTAACAATGATGGGCTTAGTATACAGGCAAAACTAGCTCTGTGGGAAGAGGTGATATGTTTGTTGTTCCATCTTCTATTGCTGGCCAAATAGACAATCTTCAGAGTATTTAAAAAACCCTTTTTCCATTTCAGACCTGAAGTTTGACCCATATTTCTGAAGGTATGCTTGTTTTTATCTAATGGTATTAGTTCGACTGATGGAAGATATCATCCTCCTCCAGAAACCTAGATATGGAAATTTCTGCAAGACATGACTGTCTGTTGCAGAACTTTCTCAAGTATCTGTCTAACACAGGATAGCCTCCTTTTTTTTTTCTTTTTTCTTTTTTCTTTTTTCTTTTTTCTTTTTTCTTTTTTCTTTTTTCTTTTTTCTTTTTTCTTTTCTTTTCTTTTCTTTTCTTTTCTTTTCTTTTCTTTTCTTTTCTTTTCTTTTCTTTTCTTTTCTTTTCTTTTCTTTTCTTTTTCACTCACTATACACTGCTGTTAATTTCTGCCCCTCTTCTCATCTTCACACAACTTCTGCTCATCCCCATCCATTATGGTTCCCTTCCTCTAATCATCATGCTGAACTCTTATTTAACTTTTTCCCTTATTTGGTGGTATGGATGGGCTTGCTCTACAAAAGACAAAGTACTCCACAATATTATTGTGTTTTGACATTTTTTGATTCTCATGTAATTATAGGCTGAGTTACTTTGATATGGACCTGATCCAACATCTTAGTATTTTATTGGTTTGTATACTGCCAGTGTTAAAAGTGGCTTTTTTCTTTTAAAGTGACAAACTTCCCTTGTTTTTCCCATCTTGTTTTCATTAGCTTTTCTTGACAGTAGGTCAGGTTAGGTGCTTTGCCATCTCTGCTGCTTCTGTCATCTCCTAATGTCGAAACTGACTTTTACAGAGGCAGTTGTTCTTATCTTTCAGCTTTCAGAGCAATGTTTGTATGTGGGGTAGATTTTTTTTTTTCTCTCACTGTCTTTTTTCTGTCTCTGCTTCTTGTCTTTTTGGTTTGTCTTTGGCTTTTGTCTTTCTGTTTTTTTGGCTCAGCCGTTCAGTAGCAGAGGCAAAGTTATTGTTAGTTCTGGCTGAGAGAAAATACAAGATGGAGAGATGTTTCTTTCCTCCACAGTTTAGTTTACTGCAAGATCTTCCTGATTTTGAATCCTACCCTGACTTTTTCAGCTGAAATTAATCCACCTGAAATTGCACAGGCAAACTTCCATGTCGGACTACATTTTTTTTTTTTTCTTTCATGAAAACTTGCCTGATACTAGGCAAAACATTTGGGAGATACAGAGACATTTTTAAAAGTGGGGTGATCTCACTTTTTGGATAATTTCCTAATGTTTAGTTTAAATAAATGTCATGACTCAAAACTGTCTTGACCAAGAAACTCCAAATTTGGTTTACTTTGTTGTCCCTGGCAAGAATAGGTATTTTGGACTCTTTTGGGAAGATGGGGGTGTGGGGCAGTTATAATTTAAATATTAGTTGCAACAATGTCTACATACATTAGAAACACAGCATTTTTCTTAATACCACATTCTAACTTGTGTGTTGTCTATAAACCACATACCAAAAGCCTTTGTGCTCTTTAAGCAGTATGCAGTATACACTCTTTAGGAAGCATATAGCCAAAGGCTACCAGATGCCTGAACAGTTGCTTTTCTATCAATCATGCGGGATTTAAGAAATACTCAGTTTGAAGCTTCTTCTGATCTCCACAGGAGCTTCTACAGAGTCTGTCAACTCCGTGGCCATCTTCAGGATTCTTCTGGCTGTGAAGACTGATCCGTGCCTCTCTGGGTATATCCCCGTTCCTAGCCTACCATTTGCATGTGAGTATGCAGTATGCATTAACCATGGCTATTTAAGAAGCACTTTGACATTTCTCTTAAACCCCACAGTGCTGAAATATGAAATTTCCCTACTCTAGAAGCAATGCCAATGAAAGACCAATTGTTAAAAAGACAGGTGGGGAGGTAGATGTGCTCATAGAAAAAAGGGTAGTCTTGAAAGAATGTCATATTTTGAACTCCTCAGTTAATGGCAAATTAGCATACACTAGGTACGAAATAAGGGTAAACAGGCCTTAAACATTTTTATAAAGGCAATTATTTCATTATGCCTGAATCTCAGTATACTCAAAGGCAAATGAGCCTGCCGTGTAAGCTCTGCACAGCCTCTACATATTCTGATCCATAACTCCTGGAGTCCCAAGTCTGACTGGGTGTTCTGGGGTGTTCTGCTCTTAACCAGAACTGATGTGGGTCAGGCAAGTATTTCATTAACTGGTATTACTATGGCATACACTGGAAGAGCTGAAGGGCAAGCTTTGATTCCACTGACTTCAAGGCAGCAGACTTGGCCTCAAGTTGCGAACAAGTGCCAGAAGGGAGAAAGAGTCTGGTCACGGCAGCAGGAAAGGCAACAGAAGCTGCAAAACCCACCCAAGACAGGCAAATTCTCTCTTTACTAAGCTCCTTGCTGTCACAGAGAGACAGCTACTGGTGCTCAAGTGAGGTTAGGTAAGGTAAGTCTGCATTACAAAACCATTCTGTCCACCATGTAGAGAAATGCTGAAGCATTTAAAAATTTCTCTAATAGCAGTACCTTTATTCACAATGAGGCTGGAAGGCCATACCACTTAGTAAAGCCAGACTCCAGACCAGTAAACCAGTAAAACCGTAATCCACACTGATTCAGAGTTTAAATAGTCACAGCAATGAGATCAAAATAAAAATAAAAATAAAATCCACTCCCCAAAAAAGGAGACTAACAAACCTCCAAGACATCACATTGAAAGCTTTTATTTTGAACATCACAATTGCCATAGAGAAAGTAGTGAAAATGATTCAGCACTTGGGATGGGGCAATTCTGGATGTATGTACAAAGAAGGGACAAGAAACTGGAGAGCAGCTCCATGGAAAGTTATCTGGGGGTTCTGGTCAATGACAAATTGAGTATGAGTCAACTGTGTGTCCTGGCCAAAAGGGCCAAATGTTTCTTGGGCTGCATCAAACACAGCATTTTTGGGGGCTGCATCAAACACAGCACTCCTTGCTGAGGGAAGTAACTGTCCCACTCTACTCTGTACTGGTGTGACCCCACCTTAAGTAGTGTGTGCAGTTTTGGGCACCACAATATAAAAATAACATGAAACTGTTAGAGAGTGTCCCAAAGGAGGGCAACAAAGGTGGTGAAGAATCTAGAGGGCAAGAAGTATGAGGTGCAGCTGAAGTCCCTTGGTTTGTTCAGCCCCGAGCAGAGCAGGCTGAGCGGAGGCCTCATGGCGGCCTGCAGCTCCCTCACGAGGGGAGCGGAGGGGCAGGCGCTGAGCTCTGCTCTTTGGGGACAGCGACAGGACCCAAGGGACCGGCATGGAGATGGGACAGGGGAGGGTCAGGCTGGGGGTTAGGGAAAGGTTCTGCACCCAGAGGGTGGTCGGGCACTGGGACAGGCTTCCCAAGGCAGTGGTCAAGGCACCGAGTTACTGGAGTTCATGAAGCATTTAGGCAAAGCATTAGACATTCTCAGACTTAGGGTTTAATTTTTAGATTGTCCTTCATGGAGCCAGGAGTTGGACTTGATAATCGTTATGGGTCCCTTCCAACTCAGGATATTCTGTTACTCTATGGATATGAAATGCTGTTTCTGAAATCCCTTGCAGAGCAGTGAATTGCTGAGGAAGATAAGGCTTCTTGTGAAATGAATGTACTTCTATATTTCAGGACCAATATCAGTGTTCCACTCTGAAGGAATGAGAAACATTTAATTAACTAATGAAGTGGGTAATGGGTAGAGACTCATTAGTCAGCAGTAGAGACTTTCTGCACTCCAGTGATTAGTTTTGTGATAATTTTTTCCAGGTGAAAGCTAATCAAAGCTAATAAATCTAAGTTCATCTTCTGAGAAATATTTCACCTTTGGGAAGGAGATTTTTTTAATGTGTTAGGATTTTCTAAAACACAGACTATATCACTCTTCAAAAAACAGTGTTTGCTGTTTCTTTCAAACACCATCAGAAAGCAACATCTCTTTGGGGAGAAAGGATCATTGTCTAGAGAAAAGAATACTTTGGTAAGACAAGAGGTCTCTAGCCAAATATGACAATAGTCAACATGCTTCCTTGTGTACTTCACAGTTAAGAAATCTCATTGAAAGTTCGAAAGATTGGATTAAATTCCTCTTGGATTTCCTGTGATAATCTCAGTTGGATCATCTGCTCTTACGTGTTAGAGATCAACAATGTCTGACTCTGTTAAGGAAAATTGACATTTATTAGACACAACTTTCCTTTACAGACCTTCCTCATCTGGCTGGGAAAACACATGCTATTAAAAGGGCTGCCTTACAGCTAAGAAGAATTTTGTATAGAGAACCAAAAAATAATATCAGACAGGAAAGAGCAAACTGCATTAGCCTTTTACCTCAAGGAAAACAAAAAACAACAACAACAAAAAAAAGTGATTTATTTTTTTTTGAGTTGGCTTCTCTGTTCATACATTAGGGTCCATTTAGCCTATACTGAAATTTCAGTTCTTATTAGCAAAGGTTAAATTCATCGTGCCTTGCATTACTGCAGGATGTGGTTTGAAACATTCTTATGTTATCCAAATTCTTTACCAAGACTGTCAGAAGTGTTTGTATAGAATTGTCTTTTTCAGCAGGTGTGTGCCAGTCTGAAGGTCCACATGGAGGTTCATGACAAATAATTTGGTGAACTTAAGGGCCAGACTCCTTGGATATAGGCTTTTACTTCAGGAGTTGTCTTGTCTTTTGGTATTGAGGGATAGAACATCAGTCAAATGGACTAGTACTTCTTTTGGACACAAAAGTTATTCTTTGCATTTGTTATTTGTATTTTTATTGAGTTTTCCCATCAGCTGTTTTTAAGATCATCTATAGTTTGAGAAGGGAGCTTATATGTTTCCTGTGTTAGAAGCTAAGTAGACAAGTACTAAATCGTCAGCTAATAGAGGTCATCCTACCTTTACTGATATTCAGTTCACTCATCTAAGGATCTGTTCTGGTCTATGTGAAGTCAGTGGAAATTCTGCTGTTGACTTTAGAGGACCAGATTTCACTCTCTATTTTAAATATTTAAACAACTATATTTAGAAATTGTGACCTTGGTGAGAGCTTTGAAAACACCTGATAAAGGAAATGAGTTTGTGATGTGTTGTTCCATGTAGTGAAAATGCATACATTGTCCTTTTGTTTGGTTTAGTCTGTTTTTATAAAGTATTTGGAGATCTTGAAGATAAATACATAAATTTGAGTAGTTTAGTCTGCTACCTAAGCAAGTGTAGTGATCTCTTTTGGGATAGAGCTTTTTGTTTTCTGTATCTCTAATCCAGAAGCTCTCTTGTGAAGATTTACCTTTATGACAGAGGCAAAGCTTGCTAATTCTGTCTGTTAGCAGATGTGGATTTTGCTTGGGCTAGGTTAAGTGACTGATAGTGATCTGTCATGACTCAAACACAAGTATGGAAGAAAGTTTGTGCTGGCTCCCCTGAAAGAATGCCTTTGCTGATTTTTATAGGTTTCATCCAAAACCCAATAAGAGAACTCTTCAGTGCCATTAGAGAAAGACAAGCATTTCCAAGAAAAAGGAAAAAATGAATATCTGCATTTTCAGCAGTGACCAGTGTTGGTTATTCCTCAGTTTTGAAGTTCACAAACAGAGAATTCAAAGGAAACTTTGGAAGGAAGTCCAAATGAAAAGGGGCCCCAATTTCAGGTTGATGGTATTTTCTGCTATTTAAACTCCTCTTTTGATGTATCTCCAGTCAGGCATCTGAATCACTAGTCATTTTAGAACTCTCCGGCTCATTCTTTTCTTTATTCCTCATCTTTTTCTCTTTTCCTCTTCTCTTTTGTATTAAGGTCAAATCCTGCTTCTCCTGATGCCAATAATAAAACTCCCATTGATTTCAACATGAGCAGGAAATATGCAGTTTGCTATTTACCACAACCACCACAATGAATCTCTGGGAAGAATTCATTTACATTCATTCCAACGATACCATGAAAAATGGGCTCTTGCTATTTTATCACATCCAAACTGTTGCTCTAACTCTAACATCCTAGCTGTTGCTAACAAGTCAGTGATGATTTGTAAACCAACAATTTATGGTAACCACATTCCATCCCCATTATGATGTGTGGTTTGGAAATGGAAAAGTAATCAAGACCTCCTGTTAAGAGACTTTATTTCAGTTGAATGTTTCTGTAAATAAAAGCATTTTGAAAGGATCATTGCTATATATTTCTAACTCCAAATTGTTCATTTGATCTAGGCCCCATCTACACTCCAAATTCCTGCCAGGCTCTGTCTGTCAGGAGTGTGAGATCCCCAACAGTGGCATGAGCATGCTGGCAAAATTGTTTCCATCAGTATAAGTATTTTCACTCAATTGGATAGTTTCACTAGACTGGAACAGCAGTTCCATTTCTTGGAGACAGCTATGTCCATTCCTTGGAATACTTTATAATATTTTATCAGCAGACTATAAGGGTACACTGACATAAATAAATGCCTCCTACTACTGTTACAGTAATAGATGAAAAATTACAGTCAGACCCATGGTATGTAGTAATGCCCTTGGGAACTGAGAGCCTGCGTAGTTTTGTGCAACACTTTGTCTTGGTCATAAGGATTGTGGGCAATCACTGTGACACTAAGTAGGACTTTCCAGCACTTTGATGGGAGACCACCTAGAATTACTGGTAAATAGGCTCAAATAAGGGAATTTTGTTCAAGTACAAGGTTCTGGTACCAAATACATTGAAAACATTCTTTTGATCTCTTTGACACTAACATACACTATCTTT